AAAAAAACAAACAAAAAAAAAAAACAACAAGCCTTGCTGGCGGATGCGCGCAATATTGAATACATGCTCAACAGCCGCCTGGCCCGTCTGGTGCGCGTTCTTAGCTGGCCGGCCACGGTGAGCCACCAGTGCTCACACCGACTGAAGCACACTGAGCAGACGCAAAGGTCCAGCTTCTCGGCATACAGTCGACCCCGCACAGACCTTGCCGAAGCGTGTTTTTCCTACACGTGCTGCGCGGGGATGTGCGCCAGACAGCGCGCCAAGGCTTGGAGCTCATTCCAATGCCCTCGCCCCGCCGCATGGACCTCCTTGCCCAGCAGTGATGGGGCGATTTGCTGGCTCAGGCAGCGCGGGCGAAGAAAACGCCTGCTGACGGCGCCAGCCGAACGATGGCACGGTGAAAAATTTCGGACGACGGGCCGAGAGGGCCGCGGCATTGGCGCACCTGGGCGAGCTGTCAGTGGCTCGCTGCGTTGGAGGTTGCCCCCTTAGTGCCGCCAACGTTGGAGACAGTGGCAAGGCTCCGCGATCCGGCGACGCGGCCCCAAAGCCGGCGAAATGCCTTCGCCCTCCTGCTTGGCGCAGTTCGACGCCCCTTGTTGCCGGTCGACGCCGCTAAACTCAGCGCCAACCTGCTCCGGGCACGCCGAGGCGCTGCGGCAGGCCCATCATGTGCCACGTCCGAGCACCTGCGGGTGCTGCTCGATGATGAGGGCTGTTTCGATCTCTTGCACACCACGGCCCCCTCCAATACATCCCGACCACACGGGCAGGTGCGGTAGCACTGGCGCACGCTTTTTATCCAAAACAGTAGTCAATGTGGATGGGGTTGGAGCCTACGATCACATCTCCCATACTTGTATGTTCCAAGGCTTCCGCGATTGCCCAACTTCGGCCCCGCTCATCCCTTAAGTTCGCATGTTCCATGGTGGGGAATGAGTACCTCTTCTACGACGAGTCCGGCCAGGCGCGCACAATGTCCCAGCGGCAGGTGGCGAACTGGGATGAACTGGGTGAACCGTTGATGCCCGGACTGTTTGCAGTCGGCATCCACCGGGCGCTGCAGACAGCCCATTCTACCTACTGCCCGGGTGAGAACAAGGATACGTTCCTGGATGAGACATACATCAAGTTGCCCGGTTGAACACGCGGTCCCCACCTTCCGTGCTCTCCGCGCTGCGTTGGTGGTGCACGCCAACATAGATTTGATTCTTGCAGTAATTTCGGCAAGACGCGGGCGTGGAACGCTGCGGGCGAATAACCTTAAGGCCTTGTGGCAGAACAACTGCTGCTGCTGCTGCTGCTGCTGCTGCTGCTGCTGCCTGGGCACCCCCCAGTGTGGGTTGGCGGGCACTCCTTGCCGGCAGAACAGCAAGGCATGGTCGTGCTGGGCACGTCGTTGGGTGGCAACGCTTTTGATGACGCATTCTTGCAAATCAAGGCGGGGGTCCACGCGTTTTTACTGTCCAGAATCCTGCTGTACCGGACCTACAGGCGGCGTGGCTGCTGTTGCTCATGTGCATGGTTCCGCGTTGCCACTATGCCGTCCTCCTCAAGGGCGGTCTTCCCCCACCGCTATGACGAGGCAGTTCCTGCTTGCCTGAAGGCATTGTTGGCCAACGATGCGCCGCCGGCGATGGACGGCCTCGCCGCCAGGCCAGCGCAGTTGCCTTTGCACTTTGGCGGGTTCGGTTGGCCTCCAGGCAGCGACATCCCGGAATCGTGGAGGGGCTATTGGCCCAGGCCCGGTCACAGCGACGGCAACAAGGCTGTCTCCTGCCATGCATGGCCGCCGCTGTGAGCTCAGAGTCGAATTTGACGTTGGCTAGCCTTGACGCCCTGCCATGGCAGCACTTGGTTGAAACCTTTTCGGGGGATCCTATTTGCGTGGATGGCAGAGTGCCACCACGGTATGCTTGGACGCAACGGCGTGCGAAAACCTCTTTTCTGACCTTGTCCCGGCTTCGCGCGCGCTTTTGTTGTCCCAAGCTAACCTGGACTTGGTGGCTCGCGGGCCGCCTGAGCTCCGCATGCCTTCGGACTGCATGCGCGTTGTCCTCATGCGGCGTTCAAGGCTCCTGCTGCCGCATATGCCCAGGCACTGCCGTTGCGGCGGTGCTTTGGATGAGCCCGGCAACCACCGGGCAGCCTTCCCTGTCGCGGGTGCCTTGGGCCCACGAGGCGCGCCACTTGAACGGCTCGCCGCTAGGATTTGTCGGGAAGGCGGGGCCCGGATGGCGACGAATGTTTTGTTGCGGGACATGAATGTCGATGTCCCGTTGAGCGGTGGTGTTGACGGTTCTCTTGTTGAGCTCCAAGGTGGGGCTTGCTGCCTTTGTGCTTTGGCCGGTCTCTGCTTGGTTGCCTGGCGCGATTTTTGCGAGCGCCGCGGAAGGGTCTCCCAGAGCTGTGTCCACTTGGGGAATTGCTGCAAGCGTTCAGTGAGATTGAAACCCGGGCGGGCCGCAGCAGCGCAAAAGAACTTTGTGGTGTATTGAGCAGCTAGGTTGGGATGGCGGATGGTAGCACAGGCCGACAGCAGGCCGCCCCACATTTTCCCGTGTGGGACGGTTTTTCGATGCGGTTCCATGGGGGGTGGTCCCATTAGCAGCTGCGTCCCCAACTTCAGAGATCTTGCGGGAATCTAAAAGCCCCACCAAGTTTCACCAGCAGATGGTGAGATTTCGCATGCAATCGCAAGAAAATGTTTTGCAGGGAGGCTAATCCTAAGGTTTCCTACAAGAGGCCTGGACCCCTGAACCACACTATTTTTAATTCCGCAAATGCCATGGATTTTCAGGAAATTGGGATGCACAACGTTTTTTTTTTAGCAGCCCACGGCTGCAGGAATAGAAACTTGAAAAGCAGGTCCCGTGAGGTTTCCGGAAGGCTGGGTTTACCCACGTTCACACCACCCATGCCCACACTCAATTCCCATGATGCTAGGCTTGATGTTGGCAATGCTAGGTAGATAATTTCTGCTTCTGGAAATGAGATCTTTTTTTCACTGCGTGTGTTGTCCACTCGTTGTCAGCCGCCCAGGATCAGCAAAATTAAAGGAGATGCAAAAGCTGCGCCCTGAGACGCTGATGCTCGAAAAGAGTGTGGCGCACACGCAAGCATGACCCAGGTGCGATCATACTTCCGACGGGTATTGTTTAAACCACCGTGGGAAGATGCCACTTGGGCCGGGGGCTTGGGTGCAGGCTCAACAAAAAAACACATGCAGACCATGCGTAGTGGACCATTCTGCAGAAGGTAATGTATTTCCAAAGCCGGCCCACAATGTGGGAGTTTGTTGCAGCCTCAGAGTGTGTGCGATGTGTGCGATGTGTGCGATGTGTGCGAGTATGAATGCATCTGCTGGAATCCGTGCATTTGCCAGGAGGAGAAGACCATGGGAGTAAAAGTGAAGACAGATCTTTCGACGCAAATAGAGGCACGGTTTGTGCAATAGAAGAAAGCGTGAGCTGGGGTGGTTCAATGGTTTGGTGAAATTGCACGTCTTCCGCATGTTGGCATTGTGGATTGCGCACGGCCAACGAATTTGGCCAGGAAGCAGCTCGCCAGAAACGCAGGAAGGCAGCCTTCCCTGAGGCAATCTCGTCCCATCTATCATTCGAATGTTGTGCTGGTTCAATGTATTTTTGGACGTAACAACGCGTGTTGATTTGCCTTGCAGTTTGCAATTCCTCGAGCCTTTTCGCCAATCCAGGCATTGTACACTGCAGTGCTGCGATCTGGCACGCCAGTCGAGACTTCCACGGTCATAGCCAATGCGAAGGACAGCGAGGCACATGCACTTTTGCAATCGTGTGCACAACTAAGTAGTATCAACAAATAAATGGTGAATGCACAGCGAAAGTAGTTCATGCCGGAAATGCAAATTTGTTTTTGAGCAGGCCAATGCCAGAGAATTTTGCGATTTCCATTCCAACGCGCGAGCATTCTTCCTTTACAGGCAGACTCCCGAGATTGCGTAGAAACCTCGCAAAAAGCCCCGTTTGATTTTCTAGATGTGCAGCAACCTTGATCTTGCCGTACACCAGCAGTTACGGCAGCCAACACATGCGGACTGCAAAGAAACAACGAGTGTGCTTTTGCTGCTAACACCAGCGGCTACAACCCATGGTATTGTCAGGTCGTTTACCCGACCACAATTTTATGGAACCACTGCTTCTGTGCTCCCTGCCACTTTCAATGTGACTGCTGTTTTCCAGTGTTGCTGTCGTGGACGTCGTTGACGTCAATGTTGTCGTGCTATGTCATGTTCGTATCTGTCATTAACTGCCACCAGTCGGCATCATCGCGGTCGTCATCGTTGTTCTACTTATTGTGAGTAGCAAAAGGATTGGTCGTGCAGGCTAAGTAGGTATAGGTCGCACACGAGCCACGCTTCTACAGTTGTTGCAGCTGTTATGGCCTGAACTGCTATTGCTATTGCTGCAGCTTTTGCTGCTACTGCTGTTTCAGCTTGGTAACTGCTACCGCTGTTGCTGCAGCTGAACATGGTGATGATATGTTTCAATAAACGACTGAAACCAAGGCAGTAGTACAGAGGGGGTTCGTTCGTGCTTGACAGTTGCCTGGCATTTCTTTGGCCAGATAGCCGCATTACCCATGGACGCCATCGAAGCTCTCATCGGCTCCTTGGGGAATCTGCCGGAGGTTGCGCTGGATTTTGGGATGCAATGCTGGCCTGTAGCGTTTCCAGATTGCTATTCCTGTGTTCCAAAGAGGATATGATGCGGTCTGCTTCCTCCCTTGCATGTCACAATGACAGAGATCAACAACAACTCATCACAGTCTTGGGGCTATACCGGTTCAAAGACGATGGTTCCATGTTCGCAGGGATTGAGGCTTCGGGTTTGGTCACGTCAAGCCGAAAAGGGGGTATTTGCATTGCAGCATGGAAGCTATGTCAAGCAAGGTTACAGCCCAAAATCATTTTTTCCTGACCAAAGGGATTTTGCTTCTGTTTGGGATTGGACAGTTTACCCTCAATGAAGTACCTCGAGCTGAAACTTGTTGTTTTGCATCATGCCTTTC